TTAAACGTCTTGCTAATTAGGATGACGTCATCCTATTACTGGTCAATATTTCAAAGAACAATACATACCTAGAGAGAGTTTGATTGTTAATAGCAGTTAGTAAATAGGACTTCAAAGAGTTTACAACTTAGCACTGCTGGATTTCTCAGATTCATTTTTTTCTTCTTTTTTTGAGACAGGGTCTCACTCTGTTGCCCAGACCGGAGCACAGCGGCACAATCATGATTCACTGCAGCATCAAACTCCTGGGCTCAAGTGATCCTCCTGCCTCACCCTCCTAAAGTGGCTAGGACTTCAGGCACATCCACCACGCCCAGCCTGAGATCCATTCTTTTTTTAATCTCACAGTGTATACTAGAAGTGGCAGCTCTGCCATTTTCAGTTACTTGTACTTTCATAATTAATACTATCTTCATTCAATTTGCAGTTTCTTTGACGAAATCCTTTAAAGCCACTTGGCATTCTGGTGAGAGTTCATTTAGTTAAAACTGGATATAACTTTCTGTTGTTTTTTTTGAGTTGGAGTCTCACTCTGTCACAGGCTGGAGTGCGGTGGCACCATCACAACTCACCGTAGCCTTGACCGCCTGGACTCAACTGATCCTTCTGCCTCAGCCTCTAGTGTAGCTGGGACACAGCCTTGCACCACTATGCTCAGCTAATTTTTTTGTTAAAATGAGGTCTCCCTATATTGCCCAGGCTGGTCTCAAACTCCTGGGTTCAAACAATCCTCCTGCATTGGCCTCCCAAATCCCAAAGTGCTGGGATTACAAATTTGAGCCACTGAGCCCAGCCTTAAAAACTGGATATAAACCTTAATGTGATACTTGTATGCCTCTATATCATAATATATCAATGTTAACGAATTAGTGGAGAAGCTGCTATTAACCTTTTCGTATGAGACCAGATGACGCATTCAGTGACTGGAGACACTTGTGACTTTCTAGACGAGAAAGATCAAGTTTCATATCATTTTGTATTTTTATGTATAAAATATAAACAAAAAGTGCCGTATTTCTTCTTAAACTCCAGTGGATCATCTTGTACATCCTCTGTGGTATACCACCTCACTCTGAAAACCACTGCTTTAGAGAATGCATCCAATACTTTTACTTCAACTATATTCACTGGTTACACTTACATTCATTCTTTATACAGAAAATTCATGGTGAGTCTATGAGAGAGCACCCTGTAAGAACCCTGTGCCTTCCCACTCCTAGGATTGTTTCATGGCCCATGATCTGGCAATCACTCAACAAGCTAAGAGAGGGAAACGTGAGAAAACAGAGATTATTCTTATGATCAGGAAACAAAAACAGAAACTAGCTACAGGTGACAAAGTAAGTGACACATATTTCAACTGGCAGATGGGACATCAAACTCTACTTGAGTAGCACTTTTTTCCAGCACATTCTTTTTTTCTTTGCTTTTTTTTTTTTTTTTTTTGAGTTGGAGTCTCACTCTGTTGCCCACTGCTGGGCTCAGGCGATCCTTCTGCCTCAGCCTCCCAAGTAGCTGGAACTACAGGCGAGCACCACCATGTTCGGCTAATTTTTTGATTTATGGTAGAGATTAGGTCTTGCCAAATTGCCAGGGCTGTTCTCGAACCCTCGGGCTCAGGCAATCCCCACACCTGGTCTTCCCAAAGTGCTGGGATTACAGGGTTGAGCCACTGTGCCTGGCCTCAGCACATTCTTAATGAATAATTCCACTAAATATAGTGACTTTATATATATAAAAATGCAGGCTGTTATTTATTATTCTGTTCTTTTGTCAAATAAGAGTATAATGACATTTTTTAATCTGCTGAAGGGAGAGGAAACTGACAACTCTGATTCAGAATAATGTTCTCCAGGTGAGTAGAAAGAATTATGGCATCGTTTATTTTTAATCTAATATTTCCAGTGTGATTTTTACAATCTTTGTAATATAGACATATTTATCTTATTTGTGACACATTCTCCACAATCTTAAACAAAATTTAAATTAAAAAAAAACCAACCTAGTTAGAACTAGATAGCTTTTTAAAAAAAGAGTTAACAACAAAATGGAAAGACCATGTCATCTAATCTTTGACACCAAACTTCAGTGGATTCAGAAGAGATTTAGAGCTTAGTTAAATATTTATGACTGGATCTAAACATTTTGTCTTCCATGGAGTAACACCGCAGAGATGCTGGATAAGAAGGCGAATCCCAGGTTTGTTGGAGAACATCACTACAATTCTGACTGTGGATATACCAGATCTCTCTTATGGCAACAGCATAAATTTTAGATTACGAGTAGTAGCTGACTACAGAACAAGTTCAGAACAAGCTAGTAACGGTCAGAAATAACACAAATTTTGCAAAACACAGATTTTCATGAAAACTCAACAACTTGGATGCAAGCCAATTAATTCTGTTTGTGCCTGAGCACTAAACCCCTGACACCAGAACAACACACAGTTATGGTCAACAAACCACCCGTGATCCGGATTTTCAGAGCATGTTTACTCAGAGCTGCAGGGCCCTCGGACAGTCTCGCCACTTAAAAACTGACAGCGCTTCCAGAACGTGCAGAAAGCAGAGAGTATTCTGGTAAACGGCAGAGTGAGGCCATCCGTCCACCTTTACCTTCAGACTCTAAAGGCGCGGCTACTTCTGGGCATCATTTGGCCCAGCCCTCCGTGTCGGCTTCCAACCGTCAGCATTGCCCAAAGTAGCCGAGCGACTCTCATGGGTGGGGCAAGAGGCTGCGGAGGGAACAGAATGCATTCTGGCCCACTCCCGCGTTGGCAAAACACTGAGCACCACACCCTCGACAGAGGCCTAAGCGCGGCGGAGGCCACCGTCAGATCCATCCAGTCTGGTCGGCGTCCCCGGCCCGCTAAGGGACCGTCGCAAGACGCAACAGTGACGCGGGGGACAGAAGTTTGGCGGCGGGGACTGGGGGACTGGGGCGCCCTGCGAGAGGAGGAGGAAGCCCATCGGGGAAACGTCCGCGTCGTGCAAGTCCTCTCCCCGACCTGGGAGGGAAGAAGACGGCGGCTGCCGGCCGGGAGTTTCGTCCCCGCTACCTGCCCGACCTCACGTGCTCTCGCGCTCGCCAGCACTTTCCCGGGCAGACCATTACTCAGCACCGAGGTGGACGGAGGCGCCTTCCCGAGCCCGGGGGTGGGGGTGGCGGTGGGCGCCGGCACCCGGCGCCCCGGGGACAGCGGCCCTCCCC